CAGTTATGACAGTTATGGTTTAGCCTTCATCATGTTGCAATGTCATGATCGAGCGTGCATTAAAGCGTGATAACTTTTCTTTTTACAGGCATTTTAGAAAATTATTAGTATTCGTAGCTGATTCTATTCAGTATTGGCTTCAATTTTTTAATGAGGTTTGCTTCGAGGATCTGTAGTTTTCATTTGTTATTGTCTTCGTATAGGATAGTTGTGTTATCAATCAGTATTTTTCTCTACTGTGAATGTGGACAGGAATATTGGTATAAATGTCTTGCAATGTTACAGTGCATTTCTTGCTTTATTCAATTCGGAAATATTCGTAAATATGAAAGAATTCTGATAAAAATAAGCAGATATGATGTTTGTAATTTATTCAGTCAGATATACATATACCAGGTGTAACAGCATAATTGTCCATCCCCCAAAACGTTTAATTTGTAAAAATATACTGAACTAATTGTGATTTTTTCCAGGTATTCAGATAACACATTTAGCCATTTGTTGTAAGAATCATTGAAAAACCCTTTTATTTATTCACCTACAAAGAGAATAGGTTAAAATTTTTTTGTTTCAGACCCAATGAGCAATGGCATGAATAAAAAGATCATTCCGGTCTTTAGTACTGGTAGCAACTGGCTTCCATCTTTAAAGTTCGTTCAAGAGCCATCAAAAGAATGGTGAATAAGTTTAAATAGAGGGGGCAGTAGAGAGGAAAACTGGATCAGCAGGTCACAACAGGAAGAGGGATAATCATTTCAACTTAGTCATTTTACCCATCTTTACACCATTTATCGTAAGAATCAATGAAACAACCCTTTAAGTTATTCAGCTACAGTATTTACATTAGTCGGATTATTGTCCTCATCCTTGTCGCCACATTTGTCACAACGTTTCAGCCGTTGTACGCTCCGGCCTTCTTCAGGTGGTTGGAATTTCGAACTGAACCCTTTATTTCGATCACTGGGGTAGACTGTTCTAGTTCCACGTGCCATGTTTGATGGATGTCAGGTATCAGTTATCTCCTGCTAATTTTCCCTCTGAAAGTCCTCCACTGCCTTAACCAGGAATTGAACTCACCTTCTTTGGGTCTGTCAGTGGATCTAACCAACGCCTTTATTCACTGTGCCATGTGTCCAACCACCTGAAGAAGGCCGGAGCGTACAACGGCTGTGACAAATGTGGCGACAAGGATGAGGACAATAGTCCGACTAATGTAAATACTGTACATAATACCTCATCTCAGAAATATAGACAGACTCTTATTCAGCTAGTTAGAAAGTTAAAAACTTAGAGAGGGCAAAAACCATCTTGAATAAGTTGGTAAATGATTCCGGAATAATATATATATATATATAATAATATATATATATATATATATATATATATATATATATATATATATATATATATATATGAAGTTAATTGCAGTCATTTATGAGCTTCCGATTCTTAGCTATGATTAATTAATGAATATTTCACTTCCGTTTATGGCAGATTTCATAACGATTCTTCTTTTAAGCTTGGAGAGTAATGTCACAAATATGTGTGGTGGGGGGTGAGTGTAATAGTTTGAATCATTAGTAACTTCCGTTTTTTTTTATGATCAATCTACAATGATTGGTCGATTGATTTGTTTTTTTACGGTTTATGAACCATTTGTCGGTTATTTAAATCCGTCGAAATGCAGGGGGTTCCTTACAGCGCCTGTTCTCAAACTCACCTCCTCAAATCTAAAGCCCTATCTTCTGGGGCTGTAGAATACGCCGACTGCACCTCTGCAGACGGGTAAGACCCCACCTTGAGGCGTCCTGGGTATGACGATAAACTACATCCGCGTCCAGGGTAAGACACGGATAAACTACGTTCAACAGATCTGATCAGGAGGCTTTGAGCAGCGAGGAACCTCAATTGCTGGTGTTCCAAGGTCCACCCTGACCTGGGGTGGTAGTACCTGTTAGGGTCCCAGCTATAGGCAAATAGTTAACCTAGAGACCGCGGTAAAAGGCTTTATAAAAGTGTAAAAGTAATACTTTGTAAAAATTATTACCAGAAATAAATTTTTGTACAAAAAAAATATTACCAGCAATAGGTTTTTGAAAAAAATATTACCAGCTATACGTTTTTGAAAAAATATTACCAGGTATACGTTTTTGAAAAAAATAATATTACCAGCTATACGTTTTTGAAAAAATATTACCAGGTATACGTTTTTGAAAAAAATAATATTACCAGCTATACGTTTTTTATTACCAGGTATACGTTTTGAAAAAAATATTACCAGGTATACGTTTTTGAAAAAAAAAAATATTACCAGGTATACGTTTTTGAAAAAATAATATTATCGTTTTGAAAAATAATATTATCAGCTATACGTTTTTGAAAAAGTAATATTACCAGCTACACATTTTTGAGGAAAAAAATATTAACAGAAATAGATTTTTGACAAAACAAAAAGGTTAACAAAAAAAAATTGTCGGCATTAAATGATCCATTGAGGTTGATATGCCATAAAACAAAACAAACCAAACCAAATCCTCCAATCTAAGTACTGAGCGGGCTTGCGGGACTCTGTACAAGTGGTTGGTGAAGTTTTTTTAGGGACATATCAAATTCTATCTGTCATTTAAAAACAAAATTTTAAATTTTATGGTTTCAACGAAATATGTTTTAAACTACAGATGAAATGAATTGTTGGCAATTTTTTTATTTATATAAAAATTTATATTTGTCTATATTTCTGAGATGAAGTATTGTAATTATATAAATTGTTCGGACTGTTGTTCTAATCTTTATTGTCATATTCACGATGCTTCGGCCTTTGTACGCTCCGACCTTCTTCAGGTGTTTGGAATTTCAAACCCAATTGAATAATAACGCCCATTGTCATTGATCGAACAGCCATAGCATGCATAGTTTATAGATTAAGTTTACGTTCAACATCGTACCGTTGGAATTTCATTCCGGTGATCAGTGAAAGTCTTATAAAATTTATAATTTCTTAAAGCATTACAAATTGTACATGGACAAGAAGCATAGCACAAACATATCATTACAAAAATATTGTACCATCAAATAAAAACCTTTATTTACTTTAAAAGGAAAATATAGGAAAGGGATATTATTAAGAGTGGAATTAGGACGCACTATTAAATATATTGGGAAACAAAGAAAATATTTACACTATTTATATTATTCGGACTATTTACCTCATCTTTGTCGCCATATTTATTACAACGTTTCTGCCGTTGTACGGTTCGGCCTTCTTCAGGTGATTGGAATTTCCAAGTGAATATTTTATTTCGTTCAGTGGGGTAGATTGGCTTAGTTCCACGTGCCATGCATCTTCCTGATGTTTCAGTTATCTCCCTTTAACTCAACTCTCTAAGTTTTATTTTTTTTTTAACACTGCAGTGGCCGGATATTGAACTCACAACATTTTGGGTAAAATCACTGGGTCCAGCCAGGTTCTTTATCCTTGATTATCTTTCTTGTGAGTTCAATATCGGGTGAAAAAACTTGGAGAGTTGAGTTAATCTATCCCAGTTGATGAAATAAAGGACCCTGTTCAAAATTCAATTCACCTGAAGTATACCGGAGGGTAAGCGGTCGAAACGTCGTGAATATGGCAATAAAGATGAGGACAAGATTTTTGCTGGTATTTTTACTAGAAAAATGTATTATTATACTATCACTGTTTTTATTATTTATTTATTTTTTTTTTTTTTGGTAGGGTCACTATTTGCGCATAGCTGGCACCCTAACAGGTGCTACCACTCCTGATCAGACCTGGGAACAACAGCAATTAAGAGGTGAAACCAAGCTCCTCAAAATCTTCAATCTCCCTTGCTGTTGGATGTAGTTTATCTTCGTATCCAGGACGATAAACGCTGCTGGTGCCATGTAAACCAGTAATATCTGCTATAAAGTCGGGTCATGGTGGCTAAACTAGTTTTCTCAATAGTCTTTACTTGTGAAGAGGCGTGGCTACAAACACAGTAGAATTATAAACTAAACAAGACCTGTCAAAGTGAGGATGAATCTTATTTTTGTGCCATCTACCGCGCCGATGTAGCCTAGGATGTACATCTGTGTTAGTAGTATTGTGTTTCGCCAGGCTTATTGCCCAATACACACTACGCATGAATAAATAGATCTATGGCTTACAACTCTCATGTACAGAGGGCTATCAGTCAGGTGCTCAGCTGGGTAGCAAGTTTATTATCACACCTGTTTATGAGACTGATGAGGAGGAGGAAAAGGTTGAATTTGCGTACATTATTTACATTATTCGTACTATTGTCCTCAACTTTGTCGCCATATTTATTACAACGTTTCAGCCGTTGTACGCTCCGTCCTTCTTCAGGTGGTTGGAATGTCGAATTTTTAGCCCTTTATTTCGCTCACTGGTAGATTGTTCTAGTGTCACAGGGCAAAGTGGATAAAGGCGTTGGTTAGATTCCAGTGACAGGACCCAAAGAGTGTGAGTTCAATACCCGGTTAAGGCAGTGGAGAACTTTAACTTTAAAACAGTTACGAGTGAATAGGGAGTTCGATCTTCACTGGGTGCCCTGTACTTCCGGCCTTGTGCCACATCTAAGCTTATTATTCGTAATTTATGTGTGTAGCAGAATATTCGTGTATAAATAAAAAATGAAGTTAATGTTTCAAATTTCACTAATTTTTTAGTTCTTTAAGGATTATTTTTCTATCAAATTGAAAGAAATGAAATAAAAGATTCTTTGCAAACAACCTTACACAAAATTATTCGTTTATATTTTTATTACAGTACAACTGAATGAATTGCCTTAGTATAGGTTACTATATATATATATATATATATATATATATATATATATATATATATATATATATATATATTTTTGTGTTTGAGGGAGTGTGTCTGGATATTGCTATCCCATTTCTTTTAATTGTCCGTTTGTCATTTATCATGGTTTATATTTATATTTCCTTAATCTATCTACCTTTTCATCTGTGTCGAT